AGCCCGGGGATGCCAGGCCGCGCTGCCTGCCTGCTCTGGTGGGCGTTGGGCGTCCCCCAGTGCCGTCAGAAGGCCTCGGGTGTTTTGAGGTGTTTTGTTGTCGTCGGTCTAAAATTAATCTGCCGTCTTTCCTGCGCGTATGGTAGATGTCTCTTTTACTCGGGTTTTTGATTGACTGAAGAGTCATAAAGGGACATAAAGTCACATTAGCTTTTCCTTCAGGCCTGATGCTTTTAGGAAATTCAGTCACTGTGTCCTTACAGATTGTTTCTGTCTTGGTGTAACCGTGGTTGGTTGTGGTGGGTCTTCATTGTTTTGTTTTGCTTTGTTTTTCCAACTGGACTAATATTCTGAAATGTCACTTAGGTGAAGCTCCTACTGGCTTCATCACAGAATTTGGCTTAAATATCTGTGTGATACAATTTAAACAGGGGATCTCGCCAGTAGCTTGTCACAGCAGTAAGACTGATATTTCACCAGAGTTTTCGCTCTCAAAACCAGTGCCATAAGCTAAAATGAAGCCAAGTTTGGTGTATTTCTATGCATTACTTCACTGGGATGCTGTTAAACTGTGTTACTTCTGTTCAGCTGCAGGTTCAGACTTCCAGATATTTTTAGATACAGCTTGGTGGACCAGAACTGCTCTCAGCTAAAAGCTATGAAGAAGCATTTAGCATAAAACTTCTGCGTGACTGAGGCCATGGCGTCTTCCACAAACTTAGAGGTTGGGGCCCAGTTAATTGTGGAAGAATGTGCCAGCAGCTACAGCCTTTCACCTATGCCAGACATTAAAGTAGAGCATCAGCTTGACTCCAGCACAGAGGAAGGCCCAGCTCAGAGTGTCACCATGGGGATGAAGTTCATTTTGCCCAATAGATTTGATATGAACGTCTGCTCGCGATTTGTGAAATCTCTGAATGAGGAGGACAGTAAAAATATTCAAGACCAAGTTAACTCTGACCTCGAAGTGGCATCTGTCTTATTTAAAGGTTGAACTTTATGGTGCAAATTGTTGTGTGTGGACCATGTTGTCTTGCTAAGCCATTACATTTTTTTAATATGCTTCTGCCTTGCATGTGTGTTAATCAGTAATAGTTTTCTAAGATTTGTTCCCCTAACACTTTTATTATGAGCTTAATGGATTATTAATGTAAAATAAATTTATCCCAAGATTATTTCTTAAATCACACTTTCAATTATGTTTTGAATTGGAAAAGTAGTGGCACAAAAAAAACTGATAAGAACTGATGCTGATTATTAAAACAAGCTTGCTTCTTTTGTGTAGCATGTCCTGCAAAATGCTACACACTGTTGAATTTAGATGCCTCTACAGAACACTGCTGAGAGCACTGTAAGATCAGTAGCTTTGTGCAGCAGGTTTTCTCTCTCCACCAGTGCGATGACAAAGTAGCGCAGGTCGTGCAGTTGACTTTGTTCAGTCACTGTGGCCATACAAAGCCTGTGGTTGTTGTAGTGATTGGATTGCCAGTTCAGCTCCACACTGCTTGAAAGCAAATGTTGCTCCAGCCCTGATTCCCTGCAGCTCATCTCCAGCCTTTGCTGGGGAGCTTCATCAGGATTGATCCATGCATTTTAATGGTGGAGCATATCAATAAGAGAATTAGGACTTAAATCTGTTACCCCATAATGACTGTGGTTTCCAGTGCTCGCTGCTGTATTTCAGACTGTAAGTGATGTTTCAGTTCCTGAGGTTGAACTTGACCCATGTCCTTTAACAGACTTATTGTGGGTTTTGATGGTTTCTCAGCTTTGTGTTGCTTGGCTGCAGTTAGCCACTGTAACTTTCAAACTTTTTGATTTGCAGGCCCTAAGTGCTTACTAGTGTAGCTGCAGACCTGAATGGCAAATTTAGGCCCATCAGCAATAGGGTTGTTGTCCTTAGGTAACATCTGTGAGCCCCTTGAAGTAGTCCTGCACATCCAGGGACCGCAGGGCCAAAATCCCTGGTGGGTCTTTTAATTTATCACATCAGCTGTAGCTGCCCAATTGGCAAACAAAATATAATTTCATTTTTATCCTGTTACCATCTACTTAGTTGGTTCTGTCCCTGAGTTTATACTTGGGTTTATGATTGGGAAGTTCTCTGTGGTGAAGTTCAGTGTGCAAGTTAATGAGCTTCCAGTCATTAGTTACTAGTGCATGCTATTCTTAAATAAATTTAGCCGATAATGGAGTTTAATCCTTCAGTGTATCTTTCTGTTATTTAATCGGTGACCTTCTTAAAAATTACTTGGCTTCTCAGCTACTTCTCAAAACCAAAAGCTACTTTTGAGGAGTAGAAGCCAGGATAATGTGCATATTCTGTAATAAAAATACCATTAGATTGCAGTGAAAGCTAGAGAAGTTAGTACGAATGAACACAGCAGCACTGAATGACTTCTTCAATTCTAAGAGTACATGTCCCAAAGCTTGCTTAATATGGATTTTAAAGATCTTGTGACACTGGTGCTTTGCAGTGGGACTTGAGAATCCTTGAGGAAGAATGTGTGGCTTGCTGTTAGTGCTTTTACTAGAGGTAAAATCCTGTCTCTTTTCCTCTGTTCAATGCAGCTGAATGCAACATCCACACTTCTCCTTCCCCTAGTATCCAAGTCAGACATGTTTATACTCCATCAACTACTAAGCATTTCTCGCCAATAAAACAATCAACTACCCTAACTAACAAGCACAGAGGCAATGAAGTCTCGACAACACCCCTACTTGTGAACTGTAAGTGTCTTCCTGCTTTAATAATTATTTTGTGAACTGTATGTTAGGTGCTTGACAGATTTTTCTGATCTTGTTTTTGCTTTGTGTTGTAATGAACTTTAATATAGGAGGAAAACAATGAGGTAGCCTTGTCTAATTTCACAAGATTCCAACCATAAAATAGTAATCCATCAGCTGTATTGAATTCATATTTTCCAGAAAGGATCCAGTTCTTGATTTTAAAAATATAGGTAAAGATTTTTCTGATCCTTTCTAAGCTTTAAGTTAAAGTGTTTCATATACCTGTTTTCAGAACTTGTGCAACTTCAGAAATTAGTACGATCAGATGATTGGTAAGTGCTACAGACTGCAGCAAATGTCCTGATTGTCACAGACCTTGAAAGCCAAGAAAGCAGTACTTAATGGGATTTGAATATTGTTAATTGTTAAGCATTTTCTTTATAAATTAATTTTGTGTGATTTGCTTGATCTATAAATTATTTTCTTTATAAATTATAAGCAATTTTTTTAAAAAAAGGCTGCTTGCATGGGAGAAATTAATCTGGAACTGCAAGATAGGCCTCTGAGCAAAATACAGTCTTTCTGGAAAAAAGTCTCAAATAATAAGTTTTGTACTGTGCAAGCCCATGGGCTTGTTATGCCCAGCTCGTAATGGATCACAGTAAAAGCCGGTGTGCATAACGGATGCTTTTGTTTCCCCTTTTGCAGCTTTATCAGTTCATCAGCTGGCTGCTCAGGGAGAAATGTTGTTTCTGGCCACACGTATTGAACAAGGTGAGACAGAGGGAGGTTGAGTACCTTCCTCTTGCCATTTGGGGCATTTATACTCTGTCGTGCTTGACTTTTCCCCCAAAGCTGGATTTTTAAAAAATCTTCAACTCTGGTACAAACTGATGGATATTTGGGGCATCAGTTCTTTGTGGCTACGTGGTGTTGTTTCATATCAGTTTTCACTCATTGCTGTGATTTGGGTTTTTAATTAAACATCAGCGTTAACGGGAGTTGTAGGTAAATCCCCTCGTGCCCCTGCTCCCCAGCTAGGTAGGTAATCCATGGAAATGAGAAGGCAGAATCTGCTAGTTCTATTGGAAGACTTAATTTTTAAATTATTATCATCTTTGTAATTTAAAACATTTCTGTTAATGGTGCCTTTCGAATTCTGTTTAATCACCCAACGTCCAGAACTATAGGTTGGTAATTTAAGGCACAGCTCACACTGCAGTGTAACAGTGCTACTCATTCTAAGTTTTGTGATAGCTTTCAGTATGATGTTTATGTGCCTGTAACACATATACTAAATTTCAACTCTACACTACGTATTGAGTTGAGTACTGTTAACAGTATGTTCTTATTGTTGTACTATTAGTAATCAGCTGTGCTTTCAGTGCATCTTTGTTGAAATGTTTACTGGAAAGCAGGTAGTGAGTCGCTGAGTCTGTGTGCTTTGTAACGAGCCATATGGAAAGAAAATCAATTCTGGAGTGTCAGTTAACAGTTAAAAATGTGTATTATGGTGCTATGATAAGCATGGGATTTTTTTTTAATGCTTAGATATTAAAAAAAATTAAAACACAACTATTTCTGTGAGCCAATTGTTGAAAAAGTTGTTCTTCCTTCTTCCAGCTGCACTGGAAGTAGACCTTAATTGTTTCCACAAAACCTTCTACTGATCACATGAACTTTGGGGGGAAGGGAGTTATGCTATCTATATTGCTTTACAAGGTAATTCGTTACAAGACTGTGTGGATCACTCAATTGAAAAAAAAAGCACTTTATTTACCAAATAACAGAATGTAGCTCTTTATTTTTCAGGCAGCCCTTCTCTTTCCAAAGATAAGCCCAGATTATAGACAATTTGTAACATTTCTGATTAAAAACAGATCTTGATTTATAGAGCTTAAAAAACAACAACAAAACACCTTAAATTTTATTTTGGTCAGCTGGATGTTTTTTTCTTTCTTGGACAAAGATATTTGCACCATCATTGGGATAGAATTCTGGTTTTGAAGTTAAGATGAGAATGACTTTTAGGACACAGTGATACCTCAGTCCACTCCTCATGGTTATGTCAGTGAAAGGGATTACTAAATTGTGTATTTTTCTTAAAACAGAAAATGTAATCAATCATAAGGATGAAGAAGGATTTACCCCTCTGATGTGGGCTGCAGCTCATGGGCAGATAGCAGTAGTGGAATTTCTCCTCCAGAACGTAAGTTAAGAAACAGACTTCATTTTAAATGTATTTACTTTTTAGTCCAATTTGTCAATGCTGCTATACACTTAAAAGTTTTCCAGTTAAGTTTTGTGCAAAACCTGACATGACAAAGAAGTATGGCTAATACGATGATGATTGTTGTTTTTTGCAGGGAGCAGATCCACAGATTTTGGGGAAAGGGCGAGAGAGTGCCCTCTCCCTGGCTTGTAGTAAAGGATACACAGATATCGTCAAGATGCTGCTCGACTGTGGGGTTGATGTCAATGAGTATGACTGGGTAAGACTCTAGCTTAAGTTTATGCCAGAGTGTGCTCTGGTCATAAATTTGAAACACAGCACAGCACTGGCTTGGGTTTGAAAATTGTTCTACCTCTCCTAAAATACCTGGGAATTTCAAAATCCCTGTGGGATACAAGAAGTTGGCCTGACTTTTTGGTAAAAAGAGAAAGAGACTAATATTGAGTCCTTGCAGAAGGGTGAGCCTACAGACTGAACAGCAGACCAAAAAAAAGATAGAAGTTGTGTAGAAACACAACATCATTTTTATAAAACATATGAAGTCTCTTACTAACAAATAGAAATATACTGGTGTGTTAAGGAATTACAACTGCAGACTGTTCAGTCTAAGTGTCTAAGGCTTTTCTCTGGTTTTGCAGAATGGAGGAACACCTTTACTATATGCAGTACACGGCAATCATGTAAAATGTGTAAAAATTCTCCTTGGTAAGCAGACTTTACATACTGAATTTTCAGTAATAACGTACCAACAGTTCTCATTGTCAAAAATAAAAGTTTCTTTTCCTATTGTACACAGAAAGTGGTGCTGATCCAACTATTGAAACAGATGCTGGCTATAATTCCATGGATTTGGCTGTAGCCTTGGGCTATCGGAGTGGTGAGTATTGCAAATGTAAATTCTTTGATTTTGATTTTTCCTTCTTCTTGTTTGCGTAGCTGCTGTAGTGGCCTCGCAAAGGTTTTGCAGCTGTTAGAAGATCCCTATCCTACAAGTCTCAGTACACCTAAAGTATCCTAAGTCTCAGTACACCTGTATCAGCCCAAAAGAGATGGGAGTTTCTGTCGCTGTCTCAGAAAGCCAGGCACCTACCAAGAAGACATCACTGGCCTGGGTCTGCATCTATGGGCACAAATAGCAATGGGTAAGGGCTGATGCAGCCACAATAGAGAAGAAGGGAGTTGACCTGCTCCCCCACCCTATGTAAAGCAGTGTGTGTTGCACTGGACAGTAAGAAGCCTGCCCTACTGCCCTTGTTGATTGGCACTGATATGATGTAGTTTGCAACACTTTTTTTCCTTGTCAGACTAGCTCTAGCTCTAGTGTATCATGGAGGCAGACAGTAACACTGCCAGGACCAGTGGACTAGGCTGCCTTACTTAGTTCTGGAAAATAGGCAAAGAAGGGACTCTTCATTGTTTTTCCTTCATGCTGCCTTCATTTTGAAAGGTGTGAAATGTCTGCAACAACAGAAACTAACTGAATAAAAAAATAAAACCAGCACTACACATGTAGCTTCTCCGAGCAGAGCCCTGTGTTTATGGGGATTCCAGTAACTTCACAAATGCCTAGATGTTGGACTAATTTAAGAGTTCAGTCTCAAAACGTTCCACAGAAGTAGCTTCTATTAAACTGTTGTGCCTACTTCCCATTCATAGGCTTAAAAATCTGCTTTCCATGTGCCATCTGCCTATTCAAATCAGAGGACAGATCATCACCTCCAAAATCCATAATCTGCCCTACTGGGTGTATTGGTTTTGCATTATATATGAGGCTTTTAATTTCTGAAGGGATACAAATTCACCTGTCTGTTTTTTATTAAGTTATTGCACATGACAAGCTAGCATCTGCCAGGAAAAAATAGTACCACCCTAAAAATGGGGGAAAAAAAAAATTAACAGAGATTAACCTGATTTTTTTTTCTCTGCTTTAGTTCAACAGGTTATTGAGTCTCATTTACTAAAGCTGCTTCAAAGTATCAAGGAATAATGGTTGGCTCTTCCGTGGGTGTCAGTCCTTGGCTCAGAGGTTTGAACTGCTTTTTAGCCCTGTAATCAGTGACAAGGACTGGTTACTTGTAACTTTCCTCAGTTTGGCTCTTTGCCTGTTTTAGTGAAGCTTTTTAATTCAGCCTCTTCTTTCATTGTTGTTCATAGGAGAATGCAATGTCGTCCTTTTATTAAATGTATTTTATACAATTTTAGAAGAAAAAGTCAGTTGTTGTGCATGAAGAATTTTGTAAATAAAATCAGTTTTGACAATCTAAATGTTTATACCAAGTACAGTGGAGTGGCACTGTGCCAGGTGTCCTACTTCACCATGTCATTGCTACATATTCATAGAAAGAAATTTGTTTACATATTGAGGTATATCACCCTAGGAGATAGATGTCTTTACTGTTAATAGCATTGATGTGCACCATGTATGATTGTTTTCACGATTCTCAATTTATATTAGTGTGTCAGACTTTGGATTTATCTGATTTTTGTGTTGTTAATAAATTGAAGAACTTTGATGATACCAGTTTAATTCCCACCCACTTCCTTTCCACCTGCCTTTGCGTTCCTGTTGTAGGCCTGAAATGACTAGGCCAGAGTGTCCTGTGTAGAAATGTCTCAGATTTAAGGCAACGTAATTCAAATGCGGAATTCCTAGCTCCTAAATATCCTTCCTGCATGGGTAGAAAGCAGACACTGTTTGAGTGGGAAGAGAAACCAGAGCCTACAGCATTCAAGCCATCTTCAGGCAAAGTGCGGTCCTTTAGATCACAGAATCATAGACTATCCAAAGCTGGAAGAGCTCCATAAGGATCTTAGAGTCTGACTCCCTGCTCCTCACAGGACTACCTAAAACTAAATCATATGACTGTGACTCCAGACACTCCTGGAACTTCAACAGGCTTGGGGTCATGACTGCATATGTGGGGAGCCTGTCCCAGTGACTGGCCACATTCTCTGGGAAGAAAGAAATTTTTTTTTCTCACCGCCTTTTTCCTCACAGCCAATCTGAACTTCCCCTGATGCAGCTTCATTCCATTTTGTGTCCTGTTGCTGGTCACCAGAGAGAGGAGATCAGCACATCTCCTTCCACTGCTCCCCTGGAGGAAGTTGTAGGGCTGTGACGAGCTCAGACCTCAGCCTTCTCTCCTCCAAGCTGAGCAAACCAAGTGACCTCAGCCACTCTTCCTATGTCATGCCCTTGGGGCTTTTCTCCATCTTGGTGGCTTTCTTCTTGACACACAACCAGTCTAATGTCCTTCAATTGAGGCACCCAAAACTGCAGAGAGTACTTGGGGTGGGGCAGTCACCTCCCTCAGACGGCTGGCTGTGCTGTGCTGGATGTACTCCAGGACATGGTTGGCCCTTTTGTATACGAGTGCACACTATTGGCCCATATTGAACCTCCCATCAACCCAACTCCCCAGATCCCTTTCCATAGGGCTGCTCCCCAGCCTCTTACCTGGTAATTTGGGGGATATCCCAGTGTAGGTGTTTGGTTAGAACAGCAATTGTGATTTTGAAATTATTTGAAAAATCAGGCAATGTTAACCAGTTTTCTGGGACCCCTACACTTACTCAGAACTACGGAGTGATGGGGCATGAGATAATCTTGCACAAGTAATAGACGAGCTTTTCAGAGAGACCTCTCAGCAGCTTTTCCTCCCTCCGGCTGAGCCTCCCGGTGCTCCCGTGTGCATTTCTCTGCCGTGTCCACTAGAGGTCTGGACTCCACCCGCCGGCCCACAGACCCTGTCCCGGCCTCCCTGCCCCAGCCCGCGGGTGGTGAGCTCCGCCCAGCCGCCACATGACACGAGTGGGCACTGTGGTCCTGACCAAAGGTAGTGGAAGGTTTGGGAATAGTCTGGTCATGTTCTTTGAGTCAAAGGCAGAGATGTAATTAATTCAACATGCTAACTTTGTTATTGCAAAGTGACTACATATACAATAGGGGAAAATGGGGGGGGGGGGAGAGGGGGACGCAGGGGAAGCCAAACACACCAGG